ACACCAAGTTATCGCTGTTACTTTAATATTGTTTTTTATTTATGACTGATTTTTCCGGACTTGAGCATATCGTTTAAAATATTGTCATTACTTCGCATGTAATTGTAAGGGTATATCCACACAAACATATGTTATATTTTGCATAGCAACTCCATAAATATATGTATAAAGCAAATTATCCAATCACATTTTTATCATAAAGATGTACGTAAAATACGATTGGATAATTTTCTTTATGGATATGTTTATGCAAGTTTTTTGTGTGAATATATATCCTAATATCCGTATTCATAATCAGGCCTTGCATTTAAGGTTTTCCTTAAATTTGTCTTTTCAGATGCTCTACAAATTATTTTGGCTGTTTATTCCAAAATTCATTACCATGATCACAGAAAGATTTTTTTATAGCGCTGAAGAAGGCTAGAAGTTAGTCGAAACGTACATTTTTTTATCATTATATTTATCGTGATAAATGACTAATTTTATTATGACTAATTTGATCTAACATCTTATACATTAATGATTTTAGTGTATAATTGTATATAATACTCAGCGCACAAATTACAGCGCAGATTCCTATTAACCTTTATTGTATTTTATTTATTAATAATTTAATATTCTAATTAAAAATACAATTATCAATTTAATAATTATCAAATTGTCACAATCCATAATTTTCAAGCAAAATAGTAATTAATTTATTTTGCCTATAAATTAGAAAATGAATTTTAATCCCGCTACTTAGCTATCCATATTTCTTAAAACTCACTAATTAAAAAATCTACATGCCTTAAATTAAAAACCTTGAATTGCCGCAGCGGTGAAAGGAAATAATGTTGTTTTCTCGCTGTTCATTGAACAGCAGTTATATTCGACAGAATATATCGAACGACATTCTAAAATAGAGTCCTACGAAACTCACCTGTTACCTGTAAACTCGATCACACTTTTGTCATTCACACGAAAACCAGAATCCTTGTAGCCCCAACCGTTCCATTTTAATAACTGCTGCCTTAAACACCAACAACAATGTATACGTGATTAATCCCAAAAACTAAATATAATTATATCACGACATGCGTAACTCGAAATGCTCGAAATATTTCCAATTGTCGGTGTTTGTTGCGCATATTTTTGATCACGTGACCGAGCGCCGAAAACTGAAACGCGATTTAAATTTACGCATGTTATTTTTTCTGCTTAGCATATATTGTTCCACCCATTAGATTCAATCACTATAATTATTATTAAAACAATAAGAAAATAGAATACGTATTTATTTACATAGACAACAATAATTAAAAATGCGAGAAAAATCTATCTTGAAAACAGTGAGTTACGGAATAAGTCTTATTATTGATCAACATTACAATTGCGCGTGCAATTCGGGTTCACAAGGGTATTGTCATTAGATATTACGTAAGATACTATATAAGATATTATCATTTGAGACGCGGGGGAGTCACGACACGATGACGACAATGAGTCACTGCGAAATTTTACACGCGTAAAGTGAACACAGCTGCAAGAGGTGTGGCCGATTGCGATTAAATGCACGCGTGTAGCCGGCGTGGGCACGATTGCCATTTTTCATGTATATGTATATACACACACACACACATTATATATATATATATATATATA